GTAGGAGAAATATGGACCGGGCAGGTAATTTAAATACTATGCACATATTTGGTAATAAGGTTTCATATATGGTATAGTTATGGGTCATTGCCCAATCCAACCCAAAGTATACTTGGGCTAAGATGGGCCAAACAATGGGTAATTTTAAAAATAGCCAGATTTACAACTGGTCGTTCAAAAATAGCCCAATTTCAAAAGTAATCGAAATTTAGCCACTTTTTATATAAAGATAAATCTGAGCGAAAACACTATTCAAAACCCGAAAAATACTCCAGTATATTATGCTGGAGTTCAGCATAAGTATACTTGAACTCCAGCATATTATACTGGAGTTCCAGAAAAAGTATGCTGGAACTCCAGCATAGTATGATGGAGTTAAGTATACTAGAACTCCAGCATAATATACTGGAGTTCGAGCAAGTATATTGGTCCAGTATAATATATTGGAGTTTGGAGCACCAGTGCTCCAGTCTCCAGTATATTATACTGGAGCCAGCAAAGTATACCGGGTCCAGCATAATATGCTGGAGTTCGTACACAAGTGCACCGAACTCCAGTATATTATGCTGGACCGGTCTCTATTGCAGCAAAATAATTGCTATTTTTCATTGACTTGGTAAACGCTGGCTATTTTTGATTGGCCAGTCCGAAAACTGGCTATACCGTGCTATTTTTACCCAAACAATGGGTATAGCCCAACTCGCCCAATTTGACCCATGTTTTAGAACTATACTCATCTTGCATAAAAAAACCTTTTACCTAAAAATGTGTAAGTTGAAAATTTTTTTGCGGGTAGGGGTGGTGGGTGGTGCAAAAAAATTAAAAAAAATAGAAAATTTAAAATACAAAAAAAAGTAAAAAAAATGAGGGGGTTAGCGCGTGCGCAGGGGGGGGGGGATGGGATAGGATCGGTGAGTGGTGCAGAAAAATAAAAAAAGAGAAAATTAAAAATACAAAAAAAAAAAAAAAATTTGGGGGGGTGGGGTGGTTAGGGTGGGTGGGTGATGCATAAAGTTGAAAATACAAAAAAAAAAAATAATTGGGGCAACTAAATAAATTTCTAGATAAGTTGGGTTGAGATCCCTTTGTTTTTGGTGAGTTTCATGGGTTATATTTGGGTTGGTTAATGGGTCGGAAATGTCTAAAAAATATAATTGATTAACTTGGGCTCAGCCCAAATAGACCAATGAGCTAAAATATTTGTAGTCCAACCCATTAATTTTTGTGCGGGTTAGATGGATTTGGGCTCAAATTGTCACCCCTATACCTCCTCAAAGACAACATGGTAACCACTTAGAAAGAACTAAACAAAGATTAAATAAACAAAATCAAAAATAGAAAAAGCAGAGAAACAGAAAGAAAATAACAAACAATGGACCGAGGACTCTCCAATGGAGCACTGCCCAATATCCCATCACGCGGAGAAGAAAGAAATTTTTCCGTGAGAGTATCCAAATTTTTTCTCAAATCATCTATTTTAGAATCATTTGCAGTTATGTATTTTCGTAATTGCGACTTTTTTTTTTTAACAGTTTCTTCGGTAGATTTAGATCTTGTTTCAGCTCATGTCATGTTGAATAGGTCAGTGAACACGCCCAATTATGCCTTATAAAAAGGACTAAGCGGACGTTGCAAATATAATCTAAGTATTTAGCTCAGAGTCGAACCCACATGAAATTAACCTCTCAATTACTCTTGTTAGACTCACTAAATTCTACGTAATCAACTTTCCAAATATTTTGAATAACAATTGATGATATTTTTACTAACTATAACTGAATGCAATTAAGTAAACTAAAGACTAACTATGATTGAGTTGTAAATAATTAAGAGAAAGATCTAAGGTTGAGATTTCCCCTATTGATGGAATCCCTTCCTGTTATGTTTCATAAAGATTTGCATAATCATCCCTATCGATCATGAGCAATCTTACTACCGTAAATCTCTCCCGAGTAATTACAACAATTTACTATACGCACTCTCCCGAGCTACGCTAGCTGGCCTTTATTACAGCTCACTTTAGATCACACCCAAGGCTTCGTTATCCCTGATCTCCCCTTTATACCCTCGGTTATTGATTCTCGTATACTTTGGAAGTGGTGTTGTTCAACAATTAACTAAATATGCACTCTCTCCCGAGTAATACATACTAAATAGGCATAGCTAATTGAGGATCCTATCAATTAACTACAACAAGAACGTAGTTGAACAAATAGAGATTAAACCGGGCAAACTATATTAACATAAACACGAAGTTCATCCTTCAATAGGTTCCATCAAAACCCTAGACTAAATATTTAGCTACTCATAGCAAAGCAAGATAAAACTACAAAAAGTATTCATACTGTGCAAATAAAGATAATAAAGAGAAGATTGAAAAACTCTAATGGTTGATTGCTCTTCTCACACTTGTTCTTGCCTCCAATTCGGTCTACAACAAGCTTCACCTTTGCTTGGGCGAGTTTGTTGAGTTTATAAAGGGTTATGATAAGTTTCCCCGGATTTACAGTTTTGTCTCAAACTTTATGGGCGATTAGACAGTTGACCGCGGCAGAACGCGGCGCGACCGCGGTGAATCGCAACTATTCCGCCTCAATCTTTTGGCCTACCGTGTTCCAGCGATGGTCAACTGCGGTCGCGGTGGCCTTTTGTCCAATCCTCTTTTGCCTCTTTCTTGCTTATTTTCGTTTGGGTTCTTCTTGATTGGTCTTACTATCAGTCAGGATAGGGCTCTGATACCAAATTTTATGTATTTAAGAAATTGATACATGAATTTAATCGAATAAGGAAATTGAAACTCAAATCGAAAGCTTTATTGATTAACTTGAGTGACTACAATTGGAAATAGGGAAATAGATTCAACTCCATTGTCAGCTTGAGCTCGTGGAAGGAATAGAAATGAGTGTGAAAAAGAAAGAAGATCGAGAGAGAAGAAGGAGAGAGATTAGGAGAAAGAGATAACAAATTCTACCTAACTGGCTCCTTCCCACTGTTTGAATGTTATAACCACTTGGACTCAATATGGGCCATCCGATTAAATTATTCTTTCCACTTCTAATCTGGTCTATTCATCTCAGCTCATTTATTATTTAACTTCCTATGTCGTCCACGTGTCCATTACTAACTACAACCCTAATGCTCAATATATCATTACACTTTTCTTTTATTCTCATTTCTTTCGGACACCGTTTTACTTTAACAAATTAATACTCCGGCTATTCCAATTTATATGACTATTATTATTTGGGAGTAAAATAGTCTTTTTTTTAGAAAATTATGGTTTTTCATAATTATTTAATAAAAAATATAAGTTATAATTAAAATATTGACCATACCTTTTCATTTCTTTTGAAATACAAGAGTATTTATATTAATTTATGTTTTTCCTGATCACGCCCAACTATGCCTTATAAAAAGGACTAAGCGGTCGCTGCAAATATAATCCGGTTTACAAGTCCGGAATCGAATCCCACAGAGAACTAAGGTTTAGCTACAGTTGTTCACTATCACCAAGAAGACAAGCTTGAACAATTCCTAACCTATAGATATTATGATTCTTGTGTTTAACTACTTAACGAACAAATTAAAATAATAAATTAACAACTAACGATACTGAGGGTTAGAGAAAAGATTAAGGAGGTCTAGAGTTATGATTTCCCCTATTGTCAGAATCCTTCCCGCTATGTCTTCTATAATTTCGCCTAAGTATTCTCTACCGATCATGAGCACTCTTATTACCGTAAATCTCTCCCGAGTAATTACGACAATTTACTAGACGCACTCTCCCGAGCTACGCTAGCTGGATTTTAATACAGCTCACTTCAGATCGCACCCAAGGCTTCGTTATCCCTAATCCCACCTTTAAACCCTCGGTTATTGATCCCTCATATACTCTGGGAGTGGTGTTGTTCAACAACTACCTAAATATGCACTCTCTCCCGAGTTATGCATACTAAATAGGCACAGCTAATTGAGAGCTCTTCAATCAACCAGAATATAAACGTAGTTGAACAAATAGAGAAAAGCTATGGCTCAATTATATAAAAACATAACAAGAATTTATCCTACAAAAGGTTCTATCAAACTCTAGATAACAAATTAGCTATTCATAATAGTATGTAAAACTACAATACTAAAAGTCATAACCAACAATGAAAAATAGGAAGAGGAAGGAAAAACTTGTAGAAGAATTCTCCGCCTTGCTCCCAATGTGTTCTTGCCTCCAAGGGTGTTGTCTAACCCTAAAGTAGTGTCTCTCCGCCTCCTTAGGTCTAATTTGTGTCCAAAATATGTCCCCTTCTTGTTCTTGGCCGGCCTCCTTTGTTTAATATAGGGTTTAGGACTTAAAATCCCATGTTTTGCACTTTAGTCCCTGAAATTTTCACTTCCTGCCGCGGTTTTGCCGCGGTCGCGGTGGAACCGCGCCAAACATGCCCTCTGATTCTTCAGTTGTCCGCGACCATCTTCTACCGCGGTCGCGGCAAAACCGCGGTTGTTCACCCTGTTCCGTTTGGAATTTGGAAAAAGTAAAACATGAAAGTTGTAGCCCTTTGAGTTAGCTTTCCAACCATATATTGTGGAGCCCAAATGGAGTTCTGAGCAAAAAGTTATGTCTATTTTACTAGACAATGCGCAATATGCCTCCTCAAGTCTTCGTTCGTACTTAATTATCAAATTTGACCCCCGAACACGATCCCGGCTTAATTCCTTGAGCTTTTACTCAGACTTCAAAGCTTCAAATCACTTAAATTCATTCCATAACATCTATATAGCTCGGAATCACACCTACAAGGCATAAAACATACAATTAGTGCAAAACACTAGCGATAAAGTGCAAACTCAATTAAAGTGCAGTAAATTCGAGTGTAATAAGCGACTAAAATATGCAATTATAGCCTATCATCACTTCCTTAGGTTGAAAAAGCTAGAGTTTATGTATACGTTTTTTACATAAGATTTTTTTGTTCCACATTTATAAATAACTTTTTCCACATTAAATTGGTCAGCATTTACCATTAAGGAACAAGAATTTGACAAACATTTTTGAGAAAACAATTTCTTTTTGCCAATATAAAAGTTATGCTGAGTGGAGAATAAAGAAGTTTCAAGTAAGGACCCTCCCTCGGCTGGAAAGCTGCTCCATTTTATCAATTTCGACAGTCATAAATCGAACTGTAAGTTCTCCCTTCGTCTCTTTCTGGACACAAAAATCACTAATGTCTTTACCCAAATGATTATGTCTCCTGTTATTCATTACGGAACCAGTGGCCAGTGGCGAATTCAGAATTGTGATTCTGAGCTGGGTATGGTTTCTGAAAAGCATATCTAATTCTAATATGAATCTATTTTTCACACACACATATATAGAGTTTGACCTTATGCGTTGGACTCATGGTTGGTTCCGCTACTAACGGAACCCTCAGTTTTCTGTAAATTATCTATAAAAGGGATTTAAGTTGGACATTTGCTAATTACTCCCAAAGCTCAGCCTATTCCAAAAATGTCAGCAGCATTTTGGCCTTGCCTTTGCTCTGTTTGATAAAGTGTGTGAATTGGGAGGGGGGGG